TATTTACAGGTTTGAGACTCTCATTACGTAAATGCCTGCACTACCGTTAATTTTTGATATTTTTTTTTTTTTTTTTACAAACTTTTTTACAAAAAAAAGTGCTTCTTGTACATAAGGCACAAGCAAAATTTATTTTTGTATAGAAGAAAATACACTACACAATTTACAAAAAAATTATCAAAAATCAACGGAAATATTTAGCCGCTTGGAACTTGCACTTTTTTATATTGAAATTGAATGGTCACAAAAATTGCATGCCCTAAAAATTCTGATTAAAAATTTTGAAAATTTGTTGACAAATATGTCGAATTTTTGTGAATTTTATATAAAGTGTGAAGCTTTGATGTATGGGGTTAATTTTTTTTTTAAATTAGTTGTTGTTTCTGAGGGCCGCCACTCTATTTTAATTTTTATGATGTGGTCTACCAGCTTATGTATGCTTTTGTTGCTTTTTGCCAATTTTACTGAAAATCGTATAAGAAAAAGGAAAATTTAGAACAAATCTTGTAAATACTTACCGTTACAAAACAAAGTAAGAAAAAGTGTATACGTATTATTTTAAATTCCATTTATTAAAATTCTCAGAATTTTACATAAATTTTCCTTATTAAGTATCTTGGACAAATATAATATTTACAAGCTATATAAATTGAAACACTTTTCGATTATATCGTATTTGATTTCGGATTCTTTAAATTTTTTAAATTATAGGCCAAAATTTACAGATTCCATAACTGTAATTATGCAATATTGTTTTTTTTGCTTTTGCTTGCTTTTAAACTTATTCCACTTACTTTTAAATGAATTTATGGTAAACTTTAATTGTTTTATGTTATTTTTAAATTTTTTGGTGCTTGCTTAGCTCTAATTGCGATTTATTTTCATTTATTTTTTGCCTAATTTAACCCTAAAAAATTCGACATCGTTTATTTCAGCAAGTGTTTGATTTCAAAGATTTAAAGAAAATGCGGTGTTAAAGAAAATACATATATTTGGTTGATTTTAGAGACATGACACGATACCGGAATTTCGGTAATCGATTCCAAAAAAAGTCGGTTTAGAAGTATCGAATACAAAATATCGATATCGAATGGTAAAACTATCGATGTGGTAACGCATCATATTCAAATTTGTATCCCTTAGCGATTGCCTCATATTTAGTTGGAAAACTGGTAGGCTTTATAGTCTAAAATATTTTTCACAGAAATTTTGACAATACGGTCAAATATTCCATACATTCCAAGTGTGCGAGGCTTTTTAAAGTTAAAGGAGGTACTTCTATTGCATTGTAACTTAAAACATAGAAGTTTACAAAGCATGTAAGTTTTGAAAAACTTCAAAAATATTTGAATTTTGTACGTGAATTTTTGCTTGCTGAAATTGTTAAAAATCTAAATGAACCTCTTGATTACTGAGACAAGGAGCCTCTGCGTTGATAAAAACGTTCACTATTATTGAGATTTTTTTTAATACAAAAATTCTATCACTTACAATTTTTTACTCTTATCAAATTACATACTTAAATTATAAAACTTATAATTTCGCTTATATTAATTTCTTAACTTCTATAAATTCTTTGTTACATTTACTTCATTATGTTGTCATTTATATTACGCCTTTTCATTTTATGTCAGATAGGCAAATATATGAAAGCAAATAAAGATAGTCTAATTTTCAGGGACCGTAACAGTTACAACTTTTATTAAAAAATCGCTCTTTAGCGATTATTTTTTAATTTTTATTTAATTACTCTTTAAATAACCGTTATTGCTGACTTTTATTTTATAAATCGAAAATAACAATTATTTTTGATTTTTATCTAAATAATCTGCAAATAACAGTTATTTTTGATTTTTAAATTATATGTCTTAGATAACAGTTAACGAAGACTTTTATTTATAAAAGTCATAAATAAAAATCAGTCACTGGCCTTTATTTTTTAAATTATACTTATAAAAGTCATTTGTATAAGTCGTAGTAAACTTTTGTTTCCCAACATCTTCTTAACTGCGAAAAATGTCAATGACTTTTATACGATTGATTTAAAAAATAAAAGTCGGTGACTGATTTATATTGATGACTTTTAAGAGTAAAAGTCACCGACCGATTTTTATTGATGACTTTTATAAATAAAAGTCTTCGATAACTGTTATCTAAGACATATAATATAAAAATCAAAAATAATTGTTATTTTGGATTTGTAATATAAAAATCAAAAATAATTGTAATTTTTTTTTTAATTTTGCATAAAAATTGCAAATAAATATTTATTTTCAAATTTGAGTCTCGGCGAAAAAAGAAATCAATCGGTATGTTTCATTTAGTTGTAGAACATTTCCTTCATAGTGAATTTTTCCTTAACAGTTTTCATCAATAACTGTTATGTTCTGTCCCTGCTATTTTTAACTGACTTCAGAAAAAGAATAACAAGATCAACGGAAATAAGGTCAATTAACAGTGTTTTGCACACTGGTGCGAGATAAAGTAAATTGACATTATTACCGTTTCAAAAGCGAAATAAAATCCATTGACATTATTGCTCTTTCAAACATAACATTTGCGCAGCTTCGCGGCGACCCGCGTCAGCGCGCCAGTGCCCCACCGCGGGCTGTGTTTTTATTATATTCGTAATTTTAAATTGTTTAATAAAATCAATTGGTGGTGGTTCATAATTGTGTGTTGGTTAATAGCACACTGAGGATTTGGCAATAACCTCTTTCATCTATGCAAACAACAGTTAAGTGGCAATGTTTATTGTAACAACATTCAAATCTCACGTACGATGCAAGAACAACATTTTTTTCTTTGAATCGACATACTTGAAGCATTGTTCACGCTATTTCCTTTTGAATGAGGAAATACCATCATTTCCTTTATTTCCAAATTTTTCTTGACTTTATTTCGCTTTTGAAAAGTAATAATGTCAATTGACTTTACTTCGCACCAGTATACGTAATAGTGTCAATTGACCTTATTTCCGTTGATCTTGTTACCTGCCACCTTTTCAACTCTTCGGAATATTTTTTTTTTATGCACGTAACCGCATAACTTTGGATCACGTTAAGCAATTTCTATAATTCTTTCTTTAAAGGAAATGTGGTACCTCAGAGGTGATTTAGATCCAATCATTGGATCATGAAAAAATTAACGGTAATCTTAAACTTTTATATGAGAATTGAAGTCGATTTTGTTTTTTTTGCTTAAACATTACTTGTTTAATTTTATTCTGTGCGCTTTGCAAATAAGAAAATAGTTGCTACAGTATGTTGCAAATCTTTTGTTAGACAATTTAAAGATAGTAGGCAAGACAGTTTGAAAGATTTTATTTATTTTGGCACGAAAGTCTTACAAGAGAAGCTCCCTTGCAGAGAGCTCGGGCTGCTCCAACAGTTGTAATTGCCGTGTGAGCTAAGCATTGGCAGGCTATTCGCGAGATCCGAGGTTCAAATTCTCGGGCAGCGGAATTTTTTTCCTTTTTTTGATAAACTTTATTTTTTAAATGAATTTTTTACTATTTTTTTTTTTTTAATTTTACGGTTTTATTGCTTTTCATATCTAGAAAGTTATATTATGTATTTTTTCTTTTTTAATTTTAATAATAATAATTTTATGATTTTTGGATTTTATTGTTTTAAAAGGCAAATTTTATTTTTACTTAATTTTTAGAAACCTATTATATGATTTTTCTCTTTACTTTACTTATTAAAAAAAGATTAATTTCATTAAATCGTCTTTATTTTTTTCTTTGTTTTTCATTTTGTAATTTAATTTTCCATTAATTTCTAGATTTAATTGTTTTACGGAGAAAAGTTCCAGATTTTTAGGTAAGAATCAAAGAAAAAATAAAGAAAGTTTCTGACAAGTTAATGAAATAAATTTTGTTTGTGAAACAATAAAATCTAAAAGTTGAAAGAGAAAAAATACATAAAAGAGGTTCCTATAAATAAAACGCAAATAATTTTTTTTTTTTGTAAAACAACCAAATCCAAAAAGCAGAAAAAAATTAAATTAAATAAATTTAAAATAAAAAATTCATAAAATAAGTTTGTTAAAATTACATGATATTCTAATAATATAAACTTTTCTTTTTGAAGAAATAAAAACGTATAATTAAAAAAAGTTAATTAAAAAATATTATAAAAAATTAATAATAAAAATGTATAAAAATAAAAGAAAAAAATCCGCTGCCCGCGGATACGAAACTCGGATCCCTCGAATAGCCATTGCAACTATTGTATATTTTGCTTTCTTTTTTAATGTAGTTTAGTTTTTCAATTTATTTATTTTTTTTTAATTTTTGTTTTCTTTTACATTTCATTGTTTTAAAAAGAAAAATATTTTCTCTTATTTTAGTATAATTTTGAGATTTTTTTTATATATTATTTATTTCTTCTTTTTATAATTGAATTGAAACTTGTCTAAGAAGACTTTAGTTAGTTGAAAGACATTTGCCAGAATTGTCCGGTAAATTTCGATCGCTGAAATTCTTCAAAATTAGGAATGATTGTGCCTAAAGACATGTAAAGTTTCCAAACAAGCATTATCTTTCCCAGTTTTATCCGATTTTATATTGCACCACTTACAATGCTGCATATTTTGGTATTATAAAATTTAGCTAAGCGTGTTTTAGAATACCACTGCTGCTTCTGTATAATTCGGTCGGTAATGTTGCATTGCATACCTTAGGGTACAGGGTATGGACTAAGTTTACTAACATCATAACTTTTTATTCAGTCTTTACATGTAGAGAATTTAGTTGTGTGGGTTTAGAAGAGAGATTACATGACAATTTTAGCGGCTTTTGAGGCCTTCTTATAGTATGGACTTAGTAAAATTATGGGTTACCAGAAATGGCACGAAACGGAAAACATAATTAAAAGAATTGTAAAGAAAACAATTCCGGGTTTACACAAGTTGTATTTTATTTTCACGTTCAAACTTATTTATGTATCTAAATTTATATTTTTCCTTCTAACTTATTTAATTAAAATTGTGTATTTTTTGGTTCTTGTTTTTTTTTTAATCAGTACAAAACACCTAAAAATATGCGACGTTCAGCAAATTTACAAATCCGTTTGCAGCACATTGCCAACAACATTCTCTCGCTCCAGAAGCGCGCACATCGGCCGCTCATATTCCATTACGAGTATCATATCTTCACCTTCAAAAGCGTCCGACTTCACCGGTGGTCGCCCATTTGGTTGCACCGTTGACGCACTGCCATCTGTTGAGACCGTTGTTGTCGCCAATAATACTGGTGTCACCTTATCACCGCCCACAGGCGCTGTGGTTGTCGAAGAAGTTGTTACCGAAGAATTATTGTTGGCGCTGGTTGCGGCCACTAAATTTGGCTCGTTTAGTTTTGCATTACTCTGACGCTTCTGCCTACGCTTACCATTGCCCTGCTTCGTGAGCAGGCTCGGTTCAGCTTGCAATTGCGCATTCACTTCGTTTTTAGTCATGCAGGTGAAAGCTTTAAAAAAGCTCTTGCGAAAGTTGTCGCTCAGAAATGCATAGAGTATAGGATTCATAGCCGAATTGGAGTAGACAAGACAGAAGAGTAGCAGGAAAATGAGTATCTCAAGGCGCGAAAGCTGATTTTGCATGGGATTAGAATTGATGAGCGTCACTTGCGAGATCCAATACGGCAGCCAACAGAGTATATAGACGGTAATGACGGTGAGTACGAGCCGTGTAACTTTGCGATGCGAGCGCTTCTTCTCCTTCGATTTGTGTTTAGAGCCGACGGCGTGTAGCTTTCGTATGACCAGATAGTAGAAGCAGAGTATAAAGCAGAGTGGCGTGGCGAAGCCTAGGAAGAATGTGTACAGCGTGAAAGTGGTGGCCGAGTGCTTCTTATATGTTTCAGGCCATTCTATGTTGCAAGAAAGATTTACGCCATCTTCTTGGATCACTGTGCTGGCATAGAGTATGACGGGTAACATAAGCACAACCGAGGTTAGCCACGCAATGGCCGACACGATTTTGGCTATACGCTGCGTGCGATACTTAGGCGAGGCTATCGGATGACAAACCGCCAAATAGCGATCGGCGGACATGATAAGCAGGAAAATAGATGAAGTGAATTGTGTGATCGAGGTGCTCACCATGTAGGCCTTGCACATGAAATCGCCAAAGCGCCAACTACAAATGCGCATAGTGTAGAGCAGAAATGGTATGCCGATGAGAAAGCACTCATCGGCTATGGCGAGATTAAGTATATAAATATTGGTGACCGTTTGCATCTTTGAAAAGCGTAGCACAACATAAATGACGAGCGTATTACCGAATAGCCCCACAAGACAAACGAGCGAATAGAGCACTAGTGTGGCAAGATCGGCAAATGAGTTGCGGTGATCCATGCAGTGCTCGTAAAAGGTACGTCTGTGCCCGACGCGTTGAAACCCGCGTGGTAGCGTATATGTTCTATTCATCCGGGCTTGTGTGCCGATCGTGCGCGTACTGTTTGGCGTGGTCTCGGCGGGTCGCAAGCTCGACCACACCTGTTGTGGGCTATGCTTCGGACTTTTTGTCGTGTCACTTTTGTTAGCTGCAACTGTTGCAGTTACCACGCGCGTTGCGCTGACAGTGGTTGACCTCATCGTGACGGCTATTTCCGTTGTATCTCTTTCACTTTTCTCACTGACATCTGCTGCCATACGCGCTGTGGCCTCACCTGCAGTTTGTATGAAATTGAAAACCAACAAAATGCCGCTGAAGATGATCAATGTAATCCCATTCGACGGTGGTCGCCACATTTTTGTGGTATTGAATATTGGAAAGGGTTTGTGCTTGGCTGATTTGACGTGGATGGGCAGCTGACAGCTGTCAGTTAGTTTTAACGATTTTACGCTGTAATAAATTATGCGACGATAGATGCTATTAAAAGCTTTTGTTGTTGTCTTCAATTAAAGTACACACGTACCGTGTGGCAAGTAGGTGTGTTGGCGCGACATAACATTGCCGAGTTGACCTGGAAACGAAATATAAAATTGAAAACTCAATATTGTCAATACATGTACGAGGCAATGTAGCATAACTTAAGGCGATTAAATACTTAAATTGTACAGCAAAGTTTAAAGTTATTGCAAATTTTGCTACAGGCTGATGGGCATTCTGCATTGAAAATTTTCATGACAGGTATACCATTTCCACGCTCGAAAATGTGATGTAATAATCTGTTAGGAAGTTAGACGTTTATTGGGGCGCCACATTTTAAATTACTAAAGAATTATGTCTAGCTCTTAGAAATTTGAAAAAATTATATATTACATTTTTGTATAACCAAAAAGTTATATTTTAAGGCGCCAAAGATTTTGTCTAGTTTTCAAATGTTCAAACTTTTGTTTTAATTTTTTCATGGTCAAAAACTTATGTCTCGCTTATAAGTTACCAAAATTTTATGTCCAATTTTTAAATAAGTACAAATTTGTAGCCAGTATGATCAAGAATTTATGTCCACTTTTAAGCCACCAAAAAAATTATGCACAGCTCTTAAATGTCGAAAAATGTATACGCAGTTTTTAAATGATGAAAAAAATAGTTATTTAAAATTTGAGATGTTTGAGAATTTATGTCCTGGTTATAAATGGGCCATGCATACTTTCTAAAAATTTGTTTACCAGAATTAAATTACCAAAACTTTAAGGCGCCAAAAATTTCAAATAATCGAAATTTATTTAAAAAATTTGTATGTCCAAAAATTCCTGCATATAAAAGACCAAAAATTTCCATCCAGGTTTTAACTAAGCAAAAATTTTTACCCAGTTTTAAATGCGGAAAGAATTTATGTTTAGTTTAAAGTTGCCAAAAAATTATGTCCACCTTTCATATGTTCAGAAGTTTATAAAAATTGTTTTTATGATAAAAAATTGTATGTCTTGCTTGTAAACGAGCAAAAATGTATGTATGTATGTACACTTTCTAAGTAAGCAGAATTTTGTCGCCAGAATTAAATGACGAAAAATGTATGCACAGCTTTAAGGCACCAGAGTTTCAAATAATAAAAAAATTATTAAACAATTTTTATAAGCAAAAGTTTATGTCTTTCTAAGAAAATACCAAAAATTTCTATCCAGATAATTGAGCACATTTTCTAAGTAAACGAAATTTAATGGCCAGAATTAAATGACGAAAAATTTATGTCTAGTTTTAAGGCGCAGAAGTTTCAAATAATCAAAAACTTATTTAAAAATTTGTATGTCCGAAAATCTATGTCGTGCTAATGAAAGACCAAAACTTTCTATCCGGTTTTTAACTAAGCAAAAATTTTTGGCCAGTTTTAAATGGAAAAAAATTAATTTCTGGTCTTAAGTCGCCAAAAAATATTGTCCAACTTTCAAATGTTCAAAAGTTTACCTAAATTGTTTTTATGATAAAAAGTTAATAGCTTTCTTATAAATGTACGCAAAATCTAAGTAACCAAAATTTTGTCAGACTTAAGCACGACTAAAACTAGGCGCCAAAAGTTTCAAATAATAAAAAATTTATTTAAAAATTTTGACGACCAAAAATGTATGTCCTGTTTATAAAAGACCAAAAATTTTTATCCAGTTTTAACTAAGAAAAAAATTTTCGCGCAGTTTTAAATGAAAAAAAAGGAATGTCTACCTTAAAGTCGCAAAAAAATTATGTCCAGATTGTTATAAAAATTAAAAATATATATATAAATGTCTTTCTTTTAGATGACCCAAAATTTTATGCATATTTTTAAAATAATCCAAAACTTGTGCCCAGTTTTAAATTATCAAAAATGTATACGCAGCTTTCAAACATGTTTTTATTTAAAATTTTTAATTATATTCAACAATTTTTAATGTTTAAAAATTTATGTCCTACTTATAAATTAGAAACAATATATGAACACTTTTTAAGTAAGCAAAATTAAGTTATCAAAAGCTTTTGCCCAGTTTAAGTTGCCAGTTTGTCTATCTTTCTAATGAACAAAATTTTTTTTATTCCAAACATTTTATCACCGCTTAAAAATGAGCCAAAATGTATGTCCACTTTTTAAGTAATCAAAAATTTGAATTTGTGCCCGGATTCACTGACTAGAAATTTATATTCAGTTCTTAACTCCCCAAATTACCAAAAATGTATGTAATGTTTATACTCTCCAGTTTTCCGTTGACTGACTAGCATTGAGCAACGACATTAAGCTGGACATTAAAAAGTATGCTACAAATAAATGATACTTTGATCACCTAAGCTGTAGATGAATCATTTAGGAACATTTCAAAATTCACGCAACGCACTTTTCTAATAAGTTCCAATAAAATGTAAGTATAAACCACTTGTACTTTAATTTAAGAGCTTTGTACGCTACGAAAAAATGTATAATTTTTTTGAATGAATACGTAAGTGTACGCTATGTAGTACTTGGACAAATATTGTATGATTCTACTGCTCTATGCCAGCAAGTGCCTCTCCAATTTACATAATTTATTTAGGTGCTTTTTTTTTTTTTTGTAAATAACAAACAACTCAGCAGTAAGATAACAAAATTCAGTGCGAAAAGGAAAGACAAAGCTAAATGATATTAAAATGAATTGCACGTTCAGTTCAGTTGAAAAATCCAATTAATTTATGGCTATGCTTTATTTGTACAAATATTTACTCACAAGTAGGTTTTTCATATTCTCTTATATTTGCGTAAATGAAAATCTCTCAATTTGTGGGAAATGAATGAATATACCATACATACCCTGCGGGAAATGTATCGAACTATAAGTTAACTTGAAGTTGATTAGTAAGGAACAGGAAAGCTAACTGTATTTCTGTGGCGATGGCCGTGAAATAGTTAGTGAATTTGATGTCAACTAACTTGTAACTAACTACTTGTGACCAAGAAATAAGAAAAAACATATGTTTTATTACATTTCATATTTGTTTACATATTCTGCTGCAGGTGGTCCCATATTTGTACTCCGTAAGACATAACATCGAAATGATAATATAAAATTTCGACCTTCCTTTTATTTGTCCTAAATTCGAAAGAGGATTAGTGAAGTGCTGCAAGAAAGTATACTCAAATAGAAATTTGCTTAAGGAAAACAATCTGCCGATCGCATCTGCATTACTCCTGCATTACATTTGAACTAGTTTCAAGTTGGCTTTTTGTAGCTAACTACAAGTTATATATTTTATAGAAATCCCGCAAAAAAGCTAACTACTAGTGGGTTATTTTCTTATTAATTTTTAATTTTTTTCTGCAGGGTACATGCATATGTAAATGTGTATATTATAGTAAATGTGCCCGAAAGCAGACTACATGTATTTGTGTGTGTGAATGCATGACGGCAGGCGTTCAAATACATTTACACATGTACTTGCATAAGTCATAAAAAGTATGTCTGTATGTATGCATGCAGTAGGCTCCACAAACAACTTGCACATAGTATGTAAATATGTTTTTACCACAATAAAAATATACATATGTACATATGCACATCACTGCCTATTTGCTTTAAAAATTTTCTGACGTGTTTTTGCACGTTGAAAATCATTTTCTGCATCCCGCACGCGGGCATGCTCCCAGCAAAGCAATTCATTTAGTTAATTAAAATGCCTCAGTGCAGCGAACTAAACATAACTAGTTACTATGTGCGCCTATATATATGCAGTATGTGGAAGAACACTGACACTGACAAGCACATCGATTGCTGGAAATATACACATATATTTAAAATAGATTCATGAAGGAAATATTACTATACTCGCTTTCTTTTCTATGAAAACTGATTGCACGCATTGCTTTGCAAAGCGTTTAAGTTTAAGTTGCCCTTAGGGAATTTTAATCCATCGATGCATACTTTTAGGTGATTCACATAATTTTTAATGCTTTTAAAACGATTTTGAGTGCAAGAAGGGTGCACAGAAGGCACCGCGTGTTGCTGGATTTTGGCTTGAGAAATTTATATGCAAATTCATTGCACTTTGATTTATTTGCAAATTCATTGCTTGCCTAACCTCATTTAGTTGAATGGTAGGGGCGCCTAAAAGCACACAACAGCAATGATGCATGCAAAGAGCGAATGCTAAAGTCAAAGCATTTGAATTAACCTCAATCCTTCAGGGGCGCGCATACCTACATACATACATATGTGTTTAGTTGCTGGTGTTGGTGCGCCCCTGCCTCGCTGTTGAAAGATTAAATTTCCAAAAAATCTGTTTGTTTGCTCAACGCTTTATTTATTTGTGGTGGTCGTTAGCAGTTCGATAAACTTGTGCTGAAGTATTTTAGACACACACATTTCTATGCGTGCGTTTTCAAATTTACTTCCATACATATATCCACATAGTAAGTATGTTTATATATTATACGTGAATGCATACTTTATATAAACAAATAGCTTAAAGTGTTTGCAGGTCGCATACATACATATGTGTGCATGTGTGTGCCAATGACGCCGATGACGGAGCCAGTGCCACGCATTTTCGTATCAATTTAACCAAACACATTTACATACTAGCTGAGTGTGGAATTTAATGCTGAAATGGTACTCGTAAGTAAATACTGAAAAAGTTGTATACACATATAATTCCAGTTGTATAAGTATTACAATTACATACAATTACATACACTCATATATACAATAGTATATCCTACTAGTAAAAATGACTTAGCCTTAAATGAATAGGTTCAATTTTTTCAATTACTGACTGATTAGATTTTTCTGAGCTTTCACGTCGAATATGCCGAAATGGCTATGCTTGAATTTCATCTGGCTTCCTTGGTTTCAGAGATTTTTGAAAACGCAATAAATAATTAGACTCTGCCACGGGTGTCCGGTTAATGGACATAACGAATTTTTTGAGAGGTTGTCAGGAGAGTTTCAGGTGTCTAAGTAAGACATCAAAGAACGATCTGATGCCAAAGGTCTCCAGATTGAAAACAGAAAGTAGGAATGTGGAAGTATTTAATTTAATTTAATTTAATCTAATTTAATTTAATTTAATTTAGTTTAATT